AAGTGACTTAAACATTAAAAAATAGCATAGAGCCTCTTCATGCATCCCATCGTGAAGCATAAGCACCAAAGAAGAGCCCATCTATCATGAAACATATTAGGCTATTATATCTTCAAGCAAGATCATTGTATCAAAACTGCTTTTGCAGTTTTCGGACCTGACCAACAAATTGAAACGCTTATAATACATAACTAGTAAATGTTAAACCACGTCAAGCGGGGCACTGTATTCTTTTCTCCCACTCATTGAGTTGAAAATATCCAAGCACTTGTCAATTGTCCAAAGTCTTTAGACAATGTATGCACTATATTAAGGTGATTGCATATCTGAACAACATGTTTGTAATTCTTTCAAATCAATACAAAGCTAACGCCCAGTGCCCTCCTAGACATATGACTCCACCTTTTTGAAGCCAGATAAAACTATGTTTAGTGGCCAGTAAACGCAAATCTGGCCCACACCAATTTCTCAGTCATTTTTTGCTAACTTTTAAGAGACCTCCTTCCAATTTACCCACTAGCTCCACAAGCAACCGATATGGTGTAGTGTCTCGACTAGGAGGTATCATGCATTCCACATTCTATAGGAATTAAGCAGGAAAAAAATTATAGAACGGGAAATAGAGAAATTAGATTTACTAATAGTACAAATAATATAGTATAGTCCATACGGAATATATTTAATGGTAATCAGCAGAATATACGAAAACATATTATTTCGATGTGCATACGCTCAATAATATGCTGCACCTAACCACTATGGATTGATGTTTTGTTTGAATACAAAACAGCACATGTTCAAATCAATACAGACTGCATTCAATAATATAAATAACAGCACATTCAAGAATAAATCACCAGCAGTGGAAACAATATTAAAAGCAAATATTACACGGTAGAAAAGAAATTGGGTTATGAAATTCAGTGAAACAATGAAAAACTGATGAAAGAGATATTTGTATTGTACCTCTAGTATTATGCAGAGTCTATGTGGTTGACTCTGATCCATATTCATCATAGAAAGCGCATCAGATTAAGGAGATACACATGACAAAATACTTGCTGCACGAAAGCATACTCTTCCATTATATGTTAGCTAGCACCACACGCCACTGACCAGCTCAGACCATGGTGCATTGATGAGAGCCATTGTAGGTTTCAGCATCAAGGTTTGCACACTGAAATGAAATGATGCATCTAATTACAGCAATAGCAAGCAAAAGAAAAGCAAGCAAGCGAACAAACAACCAAACAACCAAAATCAACAACTTAGCTTCATAAAGCTCAGTCACAGAGTGTGACATCCATATCAAACTATTTTAATACAGAATTTACTTAATTAGATGCTAGGAACACCTCTTATCAGTACAGACGGAATGTTACAATACACTAAAAACCCTTCTATGCATAGCCATATTGCGTTACTGTATAGTTTTAGCATAATGCTAACAAAGCCTGCAATCAGGATTATTTGACAAGGCTTTTGCATCTAAGAGAGAAGAGGAGAACGGAGGAGGAGAGGGGGGAAAGAGATAGGGAGAGGGGTGTGGGAAAAAAGATCGCGCGCTCGCGGCGGGGGGGGGGGGGGGGGGAGGGGGCGGATCACATAACTTAATTTCAGTGATGCTTTGATGAAATGATGAAATGAAAAGTATTATATTCGTAACTGTCTAGTCCTGATACCATTTGAAAGTGGCCAAATCCAACCTCTGCATCATTTGCGCCAATTGTAAATTGTTTCATATAGACATCTCTTTTTGTGGAAGTTACTCAAGTCTATCACTTCACAATCAATGTAGATATCTCACTAAACGAATTTACGCAACTATATCATATATGACAAGTTATCAATGGCACATACATAATTTATTCTTTCCCACTCAAGTCTACCTTACAGGTACAGTATATATTATTGATACTACCGCTAGGAAGGCGTGACAAGACACTCCCGGACATGAAAGACGGTGATATGATAAGATACAAGACTAAGAACAATAAATAATCATTCAATATAAGTAGAATACAGTGGACACAACCACAGCCATGTGCATAATCCTACATGGCCTATCATACACGTATATATCAAAACCATAGTATTAGAACATGACTCTTTGTAAAATAATAGAACTGCTCTGGATTTGATATCATGCTATAACCTCCATTCTCTGCATTTCAAAAAACAGGCACGCTGCTTGATCAGTTCGATTGTGTCTAGCATTGCACCGTATCATCATGTTATAGATGTCGCTCCGAGCACAACTAGGATCTTTTTGATTTTTTCACCAACGAAAGACATTGACAGCTATGTTCAGAGAACCAGTGGCGTTATTTTTCCTGCCCAACAAATGCCAACGGAATTAGTTACTTTAATGTTTACTCATCACTGCCCATATAATTCAGGAACTCATAAATGTATTCCATGTCAAGTGCATAAGATAGTCATCCTAATACTTCAAAAGCCGTAATCAACAAATTAAGCCTCTAAAAACTCGCTAACACCCAGTGATAAGAAGGGTGACCCTTAAACTTTCAAGCTGTACAATAACCCCCCCCCGGGGGGGCGGGGGGGGGGGGGCGCAACACACAAATCTTTTTAAGCGTACATCAGATAAACCTGCAACTTTCAACTTTCAATAACCCAAGTTGGTCCTCACACCAACCCCCCCCCCCCTTCCCGATGGCGATAACCAACAATTTATCACATGGGTGGCTGGCTAAAATTATGCAAGGAGCATATTTAATTTACCGGTGAATCATGAAAATATAGTGGTCACGCCTATTTAGTGCCCGTTATTTAGGAAAAACATCCGAAAGTTGGGAAGGTAGTAGTATTCTTTAGAAACTCAATTGCGGGGGTGCCGGGGGGGACGCGCTGACATCTATAAAAGTTAAGGGGTTATTTGAGAATGACCAAACTTGATGGGGGAAGTTTGTGAAAAATTACACCCTAAAAGAAGTGTTAAATAGCCACTTAATTACCTTAATAATTTACTCACATTGCACTTACGTACCCTCACTTAGTTTTCTGCCAGCATTTATTTACCCTAAGTTTTTAAAAATTGACTCTCAAACCCTCTATCATGCGGAGATAGAAAATTTTCAATTGGACATTCTCAACTATGTACACTTAAATCAATGTTGCAAATGTAGTGTTCACATCAGAACATTAACACCTTGTTTGGAACACTTAGGAGGTGAGAAGTAATTCACCTAGTTCCCCTTTGGTTCACCACCTAATAGTATAAAATTTGTTACCCCTCATCATTGTGAGGTCGCTAACCGAAGCGGAAGGGAACTCCCTTTCCCTTCTCTTCCCTTCTCTTTCTTTCTCTTTCTAGACTTCCCTTCACCCGCCTCAAATCCAAACAGGCCCTTAAGGCAAAAAGTTTTCATGTTGCCAATCTTAAACATACATAAATGCCACAAAAACAAGATGAGAGGAATATTATAAGCTGCAAAGGTGCGGTGAAGCTATAAGATATTTAAGTGCTATTCTAGCCTAAAAGATTTCCACTATTTTTCGGGAGACAAACAATTACCCTAATAACCAGAAGGAAAATCTTCCTCGTTCGAAATCGCCTCGATCAAGAAATTAAAGAAACCCCGGTCGATAACTACCTCCACCAGTTGAAGCCTCATGACCCGATCGCACACATCGGAGACGTCCATCCTTCTTGAAGCGCGGTCCGTCGACCCCGCAGCGGTTGAACGGGCGGGTATGGCGTCTCGCAGCCACGCCGCACGAAACCCGAACCTTAGACCGTCTCCACTCGCCCGGTCGCTAGTTCGACGGTGTGGCATTAGCCTCCCTCTGCGTCACCATTTCGGCGGGGTCGTTTCGTGGCGTTAGGGTTTGAAGGTTTTGGGTGGGTGATGGGTCAGGCTGGGGGTGCGTAACGCGAGGCCGTTTTGAGGCGGGTGCAGTGCGGCTGGGTGGATGTGCGGCGGTGGGGGAGCGGGTTGGGAGGGGAGGATGTGCCTGCCGCTTCATCTGCTGCGCTACGCGAGAGGGGGACGTGAGAGGGAGAGTAGGCGGGATGAAGTAAAAAGCTTTATTTATTCTGCATTGGATATTTTTGCGGACAAATTTTTGAAAAATAACCAATTTTCAAATTATATAGCAAAATTGATCTTTTCTGAAAAAATTAGCAAAACCGACCTTTTTCATCTTGAAAAGGGTCGGTTTTGCTGAGAAAGTGTTTTTCAAACTGCACGGGACTAGCAGTCCCGTCCCGTGCATTTCGTTTTCTTTTCGAACTACACGAGACTAGTAGTCACATGCATTTCAAAACTATTTGCTGAGTGCAGTTCGAAAAGAAAACGAAATGCACGGGACTGCTAGTCCCGTGTAGTTCGAAAAACTCTTTCGCAGCAAAACCGACCCTTTTCATCTGAAAATGATCGGTTTTACTGATTTTTTAAAAAAGATCAATTTTGCTATATAAACTTGAAAAAGGGGTGTTTTCAAAAAAATTATCCTATTTTTGCCTCTCAATCCGAGGTCTTACTCGCGCAAAGTGATTTTCGCTTTTACCGAGGTCCAAAACATCAAATGCATTCTATTTTCTATGTTGTATCTTCTAAAAAAAATTAAAAATTAAACACTCAAAATATTCTTGTCTTTCTCCTCATCCTCTTTTAACCCACAACTCATTCCCTACTTCTTACTCTATCAAGTGTTCTCCATCTTTTTTGTTTGGACTCTACAATCTACTCCATTCCTCCTCTTGGACTCCACCGAACACCTTCCCCTCTTCCATCTTATTTTCGTCGGCTCATAGGTTTTTGTTGCTATATTTACATGTATTACTGCTATACTTATAGATTTTCATGCTATTCTTATATGCGTTGTTGTTATACTTAGAGCGTTTTGTTGGGATTCAAGTCCTCTCAAATTAAGTGGTAATTGGAGAGTCTCCAATTTCTCCGATGATTGTCATTCATTTCTAATTCAAGGGATGAGATTAGGCTACGAGATAGAATCGCTACGATATTAAAAACCACTATTTTTTTTAAAACCACTATTCTTTGAAAACCACGATCGCAATAGTGGAATCCCATGTGGCCTAATCTTGTCCATTAAATTCGGAATGTATGATAATAATTGGAGGAATTGGAGACTCCTCAGTTACCACCTAATTGGAGAGGATCTAAATCTGTTTTGTTGTTATACTCACATGTATCGGGAAATGGAGAGAAACTGTGACAAAGCAGAAGGGAAAAGAAAGGATAAGAGGAGGTAAGGCGAGGGTGAGAAGGAGGTGACAGTGATGATGAAGAGTTGATGATGGTGGATCTTGGAGAAGTGGGGACAGAGGAGGATGCAACTGAAGTGAAGGAAATGACTATTTTTTGTTAGAGAGAAGAAGATGAAGGGTATTTAGGGTATTTTTGTTTTATTAAGAGAGACAATACACATTTATGATTGTATTTTATACTCTTGGATTTAAAAGAAAATTCAAATATCATTTTTAATTTATGGTATAGATAGAGCCTGGTAGGTTTAAAAATAAAACAGAGTAAAACTTTATAAGTAAAAAGCCCTCTTTATCTTTTGGGTGAGTTAAATATTTTAAATTGGGTGAAATGAGTGAAATTATTGGAAATGGAAAATAAAAAAAAAACACAAAGGGATCATTTTGGTCCCTGTGCTAGGCTTTCATATTCAAATTGATTACGTAATTTTTTCTTCTTCTCATCTTCGTTATTGTATATCCTATTGACATGATTTGGCAAGAGGTATGAAGAGAAGAAGAGGAATGAAGTCGGGTACAAAGAGATATAAGGAAGGACTCATGTATTGCATTCTTGTTTAGCTGGAGGAGAGGAGAGAGAAGATGAACTACTTTGTAGTCCATTTACTTTCTCTTCTTGAATCCCTCCAATTTGGAGGGATTCTTTTCTCTCCTATTTCTAGTTCATTTGAGTTTTCTCTCACCTCACATCACCTTACTCTACCTCTCCCTCCAAAAATCCTCTACCAAAGTCAATTTAGTCTTTTTTTTACCTGCCCTCCCCCTTACCTCCCTATCTACCAAACGAAGCATAGATGAAAGCTTAGTGCTAGTTTAAATACCTATTAAAATTCCATAAAATATAATTTGACAGGATAATACAACCTTAATGAAGGTAAGGGCTTGTTTTGTTCGAATATTGAAAAACTATGGAATGGAAATGTAGTGTAGAAGCCTATATTC